GACGCTCAACCATCTGAGCCCCCCAGGCCTCCCCCATTTCTGTCCTCTTGAGCCGGGTCTGTTTGTCCTTTCTGCCATGGGTCCTGGAGCCCTGCCCCTGGAAGGGCATGGCAGGTGTGTACTGGGTTTTCATCTGGGCTCGGGGCTCGGGGCTCAGGGCTCTGCGCAGGCCTGTCCCAGACTGGAATGGTGACCCTGATGACTCCATAGACTCAGAGGGAGAAGTTGGTTACGTTTCCTAGGCCTGTGCTTAGGGTCCTTCCATCTCTCTCCAACCATCTGGGTCACTCTGTTCCAAGGCTGTCACAAGAAACTACTGCAGCTACTATGTTCTGGAATTGTCTTTGCCCTGAGCACTTGGGCTCTGGGCTGGCAGCCCCAGAGGAATGCTTCTTTGGGATGTCTCTGGACTGGGAGATAGATCTCCCCATCTGTGGCAGGGAGAGTTAGAACCCCTCAGGGAGAGCCCTTTCCCTCCTCTCCTGATATAGGGACCCCTGTATTCCCTGGGAGCCATTGAGGGCTGGAGGCAGAAATGGTAGGGTAACTGGCAGCAGAATATTCCCCTGGGGCTCCACGCATTCCCCAGTGTGGGGAAAGAGTCATTCAGTCCTTCCTACAAAGACTTATCAGGCAGTTCCTATGTGGCAGGCACTGTTCTAAGCACTAGGGATATAGCCGTGAACTAGCAGACTATTTCTCTGCCTTGAGGAGCTAATATTCTAGTGAAAGGAGACAGGCAATAAACAATGGGTATATGTAAATTATACAGTGTGTTAGAATCTGGTAAGTGCTAATGGAAAAATAGAATATGTTAAGGGGGGCTGGGCATGCTGGGGTGGGAGTGGAGGTTCTTTGAAATTTTAAATGGGCTATCAGTGTAGGTCTTGTTGAGAAGGTGACGTCTGAGCAGACTTGAAGGAAGACAGGGAGAGGTCCATGCCTGTATCTGGGGGAAGAACATTCTGGGCAGAGGGAGCAGCCAATGTTGCCGGAACAGAGGGAACAAGGAAGAGCAGAAGGAGATGAGAGCAGAGGCGGTGGAGGGGGCAGACTGTGCACCAGCAAAAGGGCCACAAGGCCTCACTGGCAAGAAGGAAGAAGTTGCGGAGCCAAGGACTGCTATGGTCTGACAAAGTTTTTAACCCCACCCCTCTGCTCCTGTGTTGAGAAGAGACCAGAGGGACAGGGATTAAAGCAGGGAGATGGGTAGATGCCTACCCAGGGAGACATGATAGTGGCCTGGACCCCAGTGGAGGTACTGATGGTGAGAATGATCAGATTCTGGATCCCTTACGCACGGAACCCTGAGTGGAAGGCCTGATGGAGTGCTCGTGGTGCGTGAGAACGAGGAGCCAAGGGGGACTGGAGCTGTTTGGCCTGTGCATCTGGAAGACTGAAGTTGTATCAGTTGAGCTGGGGAGGACGGTGGCAGGAGCAGGTCTGGGTCTGTTAGTTGTGGACATGTTGAGTATTCGGGGTTGTCCTGTCCTGACTTTCCAACACAGTGCTAAGGCCAGCATGAGGAGACAAAGAGGGGCTGTTCTGTTCTTTACTTTCTCTGGAGGCCACACAGCCTGCCCATGTCTTGGTGCCCCCTCCATGGTGCCACCTGAGTCACAAAGCCTGGGTTGCCAGGTTGGCTGTGGAGATTTGCCTTCACAGGCTCCCGTCATTGAGCTGCTTATTCAGCACGGAAATTCCTTCTGCACCGTACCCAACAGCAGCTCTGGGGGGCTCAAGACATGTGAGAGACCCCGGTTTGTCTTCTGGCACTTTGGACGATATTGACCATCACTCAGTTGTGGAAGAAATAGCACTTATTGGCAAATGAACATTTATTGAGTGCTTACTATATGCAGTGCACTGTACTAGACCAGACTGATGAAGGAAAATACGTAGGAGAATGCCGTCCAAGAACTGGAAGGAGCCCTGCCCCCAAAGGGCTTACAGTCTTGCCTGGGAGGCACTGCGTGTACACAGAATCACCGCTGAAAAGATACAAAGCCACATGAAAGCAACATTTGCAGGCACAAAGTGGGGATGTGAGAATGGATGCTGCTGGGACAGCTCGAAGCCTTCTCTGTCCCCAGCTTGAGGACCCGGAAGCCTGTCCACCTGCCTCCATGCTGCCTTGCGTCTGTCTGGTTTTGGGTGTGTCCGACCTCCATCCTCCTCCAGACTAGGAGCTTTTCAAGGGCAGAAACCAGCCTGGTGTCCTTTGTCCTTTTCTCCCTACCCTGCTGCGGCCCTCCCCGAGGGCCTGTGTCCACCACTAGACAGAGGGCTGCGCTGGACAGCCTCAGTTGTGTGCTCTGGTTTCTGCCAGGGGCGCCCAAGGGGGCAATTAGGACTTGCGCCAGACCAGACCTGGTCTCTCCTGAGCTCCGAATGGACAGATCATGGGATTTTGCAGTCAAATGCTCTATCCCTGAGCTATACCCCCAGATCATGGGATTTTTGAATAAGAAGGCCTGAGTTCAAGTTTTGAGTCCACTACATACAGCTGTGTGATGTTAGATCATTCTCTGAAATGCAGTTCTTCAATCTATAAAGTGGGAAGAACAGTATTTGCTCTGCCTGTCTCACCGGGTTGGGAGATAATCAGGGGGGATGATAGGGGGTGCGTTGGAAATGCTAAAATCCTGCCGACCTGGAAGCTGCCCTCCTTCCCTAACCTGCCTGAGGTTTTAGCACAGAGGTTGGGACACAAGAGATGCTCACTAGGTGTCAGGTCCCCTCCATCCTCATCATTTTGAATCCTGCTTTGACCTCTGACCTTAGTGACCCCAATCTGGGCAATCAGGGCAGGAGGTTGTGGTGATGTCACATTTGGTTTTAGGTGAGGTGCAATCCAGGAAGCGGGATAGACATAAAGAGAAATTCTTGGCACCTTCTAGGGGGATGTGTGGGGGTGAGGTGGGGTGGGGATGGGGTGCCTGAGACACATGCAGGCTTGGCTGACAGCTCAATGCCTTGCTGCCTTTGAACTTCGAGAGCAGTTCAAAGTACAGCCCCAGAGGTCGCTTTGGTCTCTGATACAACCTCTCCTCTGGTAGTGAGGTCAGGTGGCTGTCACCAGCTGTCGGGGGGTTCGGGACCCTTTTTTCCATAGCACCTATGGGCCAAGGCAGCCTTTTTCTGACCCCAGAGGGAACTTTGGTCAAGGATGACAGCAAAAAGCCTAGATGAGGAGGTGGGCACACGCCCAGAGATGTTCCCCATACACCGTCCATCTTTGAAGGGAGTGGAGGGCAGGAAGGGCCTGGAGACTCCAGTACACTGGGTGCTCGGTGCCGTGTGAGACAGACACCGACAGAAGCCTGGAAGCAGGAAGGCCCTAGTGCATGGAGAAAGGGGCTCAAGATGTGATTTTGAGGTTAGCTATGCAGCAGACTGGAGAGGGACGGAGAGAATGGAAGGTGTCTGGGTGATGGGAGGAGGAAAGTGCTAGAACAGCTAGGGTGCACTCAGGGCCAGGAGAGGTGAAGAGGCTGGACCAGGATGGGGTCACCCCCAAACCCATCTCCTTCTGCCTTGACTCTCAGGGCCATCCTTTGCACTGTCCACCATCTAAAGAAGGTAAAAGAGGCTGAGGATCAGGCCCCTTCTGTGCTCTACCTGCAGGAAGCGGAAGTAATGAAATAATCCCAATAATGCGTGCTAATGGTATGAGGAATTACAGTTCACACAGCATCTTCACATGCATCATCTCACTTAATCCCACTTAATCTCATTTGAGAACCATTGCACTGGCCTAGAAATGTAGAAGCCCGGGCTCTAGACACAGACCTGCCTCTGCCTGGACAAGTCATTTCCCTTCTGTGGTCCTGCGAGTGCTAGGCTGCTCTCGCCCCCCAGTAACTGAACTAGGGTGGAAACCTGAAGGGAGGGAGAGGAAGAGAGATTCCTGGGGAGCGAGGCCTGTGGCCGCATGCCTGAACGCCCTGGCCAGCCAGCCAAGGGTGCGTGCCAGGAGAGAGGCCTCACTTGCGAAACGGAGTGTCTCCTTTCACTAAGTGTCCAGTTGCAAATCTCCCCCTCTCCCAAGACAAAGGCTGGGGCCCGCAGAGGGCTTTTGTTTTCTCTGCCACAGGCTAATCTCTGGGTCTGGAGCCCCCTGGAGATGGGGGTCTCCTGCACACATGTAGGGCATGTACACACACATACAGGCATGCACACACATATGCCGGCTTCCTTCTTTGAAGAGGTCTTCCCTCAGGGCAGAAAGGAGGTCCTTGGCCACCCAACCCTCCCTTTTCCCGGAAGCCACTTTTGGGGAAGCCATTCTCTGGCTGATATTCTCTGTCTCTAGCAATGGAAGTTGGCAAACCTTGGGGCCCAGCGCTGCAGCTTGGGGGAATTTTCCAGGAGAGGCAGGGTAGGGGTTGCCCATCAGGGCCCTCCCTTCAGCCCTCTCAGGGGCCTCCAGATCCTCCCCTTGCCTTCTCCTGAGGAGCACTGTCTTAGAGCTCCTGGGGAGGATGGGCCTGCAGAAGGAGGAGATTTATTGTGCACTGGGGGGAGGGGAGGGGTCAAGAGGGGAGTCAGAGGTTGCCAGCCAGTGCACTCACACCACCACGGGCACAGCCACTTACACTCAGGAGCATGCACCACCGTGCACTTGGGGACAGAGAGACACTGGGGAGGAACACACACTTGCACACTAGCAAAACCTGCCGCACCGTTCCCAGATCCCCCTCCCCCGCGGTACCCGGTGCGGCCTCCCCAGAGCCTTCCTCCGCCTGCTGGCCTTCCCTCCCCAAGTGTCCAGCTGCCTGCAAGGGGCCAGAGCGTCCGGACTGCTCACTGCCTGCAGCCTGGGGGACAGGGGGTCTGCCGGGCTCACCGCCACCCCGCAGCCCCCGCAGCGGCTCCTGGGCGCGGCGCACGCCCGGGGCGGCCTTCGGACCTGGGGAGAGGAGGGGCTGGCTGGGCGGCGGGCGGGCAGTCCCTCGGAGCTCTTCCCCCGGAGCCGGGGGCCGGGGCCTCGGGGCCGGGCGGGCGGTGCGCTCAGGCCTTGCTGCCCCGCGGCAGGCTCTGCGGCGAGTGCAGCTCCACGGACTGCCGCCGCCGCACCTCGCGCTCCTCCCAGTCGGCGTCGGGCTCCTGCCCCTTGAGCACCGCCAGGCGCTCGGCCAGGCTCTTGGCCGGCGGGAACAGGACGTAGTTGTAGAGGAGGGAGCCCAGGACGGCGCCCACCAGGGGTCCGATCCAGAAGACCTGGGGCGGGCGGAGAGGCCGGTCGGGGCGGGGATGGGGGGGGGCGAGCCCCGACTCCCCGCGCCCCTCAGCCTCCAGACGCGCTCCCCCCGCTTGGTGTTGGAAAGGGGTTCTCCCACGCGATTCGTGGACTAGTGGGGAAGGGGGCGGGTTGGCGGACTTAGTAATGACCGCAGCAGCTGTTGGGGCAGGCGGGCTAGTTGGGGGTTAAGGGTGCGAATTCCAGGCGGACTGCCCGGGTGACCAGAGGCATTTTGCCCACCCTGTCTGGGCCTTAGTTTCCTTTCATTGTAATAATGCCTACCTCCTAGGGTGGTCGTGAAAACCAACAAAGCACTTAGAATAAGGCCTGGCCTCTACTCAGGCTAGATGAGTGCTGAACAATACAAATGTCTGCCTTAGCTAGTACAAATATTACCATTTACGGGGTTCCAGCCACTGTGTGAGCTGTTTTACACCTCACTTAAGGAACGTCACTTAACTCTTCCAGAAAGCCAATGAGGCAACAACTGCTATTATCCTCACTGAGGGATGTGGAAAGGAAGAACGAAGTGTTCCGCATCAGACCCGAGGGAGGAAAGCCCAGGCTCCCCAGGAGGAGCGCGGTGGGTTCGCTGAGCTCCGACCCCCTCTGTTCCAGCCCTAGCAGAGATGGGTTTCTGAGGGAGGGGAAGGCCGGGGAGGTTTCAGCCATTACCCAGTGGTCGTCAAACTTGCCGGTGACAACAGCAGGAGCCAGGGAGCGGGCGGGATTCATGGAGCAGCCAGTGTAGTGGATCTACAAGGGGAGGCAGGGGTCAGGGACCGAAGGCAGCTGATGAGGACAGCGCAGGGGGTCCTTGTGCCCCTCCCTAGCCCTTGCCCTCAACCTCAAGGGAACCCCTGTGATGGGCAGTTAGTCCGCATAGGTACAGGGTTCTGTCTTCATTGGAGGCTGGAGTGAGATCTGGGGGTATCTGGGAGTCAGACCTTCTGGGGTGGCCACATGACTGTGCCTCTGGGGAGTTCTGTGTATCTGTCCCCTGGGGGTCTTTGTGTCTGTCACTTTTGCGGGTCTGTGTGTCTATTTCTAGAGTGGTCTGTGTGTCTGCTTCTTTAGGGAAGGTCTGTAGGTCTGTCCCTGGGGGGACTAGAAGCAGTGGCCCTGACCTACCCCCAGGAGGTGCCCCAGGACCACGGAGAAACCGATGGAGAGGGCAGGGGTGCCCAGGTTGTCTCCACGACGCTCATCTGTGGAAGCGAAGATGCAGAGCACCAGCTGCAGGGTCAGGAAAAGCTCCACGGTGACAGCCTGGCCTGCTGTTGTGTTGTTGCTGAGCTGGGGAAAGAGAGAGGGTGGGTGGGGGCACGCTGGGCGGGCTCCCCGCTCTGGCTCCATCTTCCCACCCATCTGCAGTCAAGGCTCCAGAGAGCCTTCCGAGCTGGGACTGGAACACTGGGGCTCACCAGCCATCTTAGCTCAAATGAATGATGGCTTCTTCCTGGGCTGTGGCCCAAAGGTAGGGTGATGGACCCCAGGACTGCTGGTGGTCCCTAGGCCAGAGGTAGGAAAACTGACTCCACAGCCCATTAGATTTGGGGGCTGTGATTATGTGCCTAATGTGAGAGGCAAAGGATGCTGAGGTCCACAATTTGTTTCCAGAAAAACAAGAAGGGAAGAGGTCTTGACTGCAGCAGGAAGCTTTAGGGCAGGTAACAGAAAGGCCTTCTTTGCTCTCTAGGCCGTAAGATACTACTGGTGTAACGAGAGGCCTGTGCTCTTTCTTCATGTGGGCAAAGGGCCCCCAGGGAAGGGTCTTAGGACTTGGGTCTAGGAAAGTCCTAGTGAGAACCCTCACCCCATGAGCCCAGTGTACAACTCTTTCTTTTCACCTTTGCCTGTCCCCTCGGATCTTGCCTGTTCTACACTGTGCTTCAGGCCTCAGTTTTGTCCCGTGGATTTGTTCCCTGCACATCCTCTGGAGGTTGGGGATGGGGGCACTGATGCCCTGTACTATGGCAAGGGGGCCTGTGGACCAGGTGGGGTGCCCATGGTCCTGGCAGACCCTGCCTTGGGTAATGAGAGAACTTGGGGCCGAGCAAAGAGGCTATTTCATAACCGGGCCACACCCAGCACTGGATTTCTCTCTGGGTTTTGTCATCCTGTGCCCTACACCCTGCCCTCAAGCGCTGGGCACTGCACCGGTTGGCACTGGGAAAGCTCTCAGCTCCCACGCTCCTTCTCTAGGCCCTGAACCCCCATTCTTGGGTCCTAGCCATCGGGCTGGCACCCTTGGGTCTCTAGCGTCTAACCTCAGGCCCTCCACTCCCGTCGTCCAATGTTAGAGCCTCTAGTGGGGGGCAGTGAAAAGAGCTTTGAAGGCAGATATTTTGGAGGCCTACAACTTGCCATGGGGCCCTATTTACTACTTCAGCCTCAGTTTGTCCTTCCATAAAATGGGGATAACATAACAGATTCCGGAGGACTGTGTGAGGACTGGAAATGACAAGGGCAGAGCCCCAGCCCCATTCCCACTGGTAAATGGCTTTTCTTTTCTTTTTTTTTTTTTTTTAAGATTTTATTTATTTATTTGAGAGAGAGAGAATGAGAGATAGAGAGCACGAGAGGGAAGAGGGTCAGAGGGAGAAGCAGGCTCCCTGCTGAGCAGGGAGCCCAATGCAGGACTCGATCCCGGGACTCCAGGATCATGACCTGAGCCGAAGGCAGTTGCTTAACCAACTGAGCCACCCAGGCGCCCGGTAAATGGCTTTTCTAAGGGAGAGGTGTGGACATGGATTTGGTGTCAGACAGCTCTGCATCCACTTCCAGGTGCTGACATCAGCTAGTTCTGTGATTTGAGTCAACTGAATGTTGGGCCTCAATTTACCAATCAGGGTAGAGGGTACACAGAATTCATCTTACAGTGCTGCACCCAGAAATAGGTGATATCTGGCCTGGCAAAGAGCAGGTGCACATCAGCGGTAACTTCCTGGCAGCTAGGCTGGCCTTTCCAATGACCTCAGAGGATGCCTGGAACAGTCTTGGGGGTCATCTAGCTTTCTAGCCTCAGGGCAACCCAGCCCCACTGCTGCACCATTCCAGCAAGGCAGGGTTCTCCCTAGTTCCTCAAGATGGTAAATGCTGAGCAGTAACTTGGGGGACCCTCTCCAGACTCTCTCCTTCTGAGGGCCCCAGTTAACTGTCAAATGATGGAGGAGCAGGAGTGAGTGTCCCCATGGCTCCTTAGCATTTCCATTGCTCTGCTATTAGAGGAGATTCTCTAGCCACACATTTACTTTCTTGGCCATACTCTCAGGAAGTTCCTCCGGCAGTCTAACTGGACCTCTCCTTACTGGGAACAGAACTAATTTCATTCTCACTGGAAATAGTCACACTCCTCAATCTGTCTCCCACCATGGCCACTCTAGCCTTTCCTCATCCCTGAGCCCCAGCCTCATCATATTTTCCATTTTGAAGAAGAAAAATTTCCTCAATTGGGACACCTCTACCCCCTGCATGAGGAAGGGCCACCTGTGCAAAGGAAGGGTGGCCACAGAAACCATGTAGGACTCTTCAGAGACATCAGCACTTTTATCCAGTGGCCCAGGGAAAGGCAGGCCATCGAGGCATGAAAGAGGTGCTTGCGGCCCTGGCTTGGGATGGGGGTGGAGAGAGATGTGTATTGCGGGGACACAGACTCGGCCTCCCCACCCATGGCCTCGGATGCCAGGGTGCTGCACAGACCCAGGAGAGAGAGAGAGCAGGAACACGGAGGGGGAGGGATTGCGGTGTCCTCCCAGCTCCCAAAGTGCCTAAGGTGTCCGATTAGCCACTGCTCGTATAATCAGCAGTCAGTCACGGGCTCTGGGGACCTTCTCCAGGGTCTGGAGAGACCTTGCCTCTTCAGCTTTTCCTTGAGTTCTGGTGCTTTCTCTGGTATTGACACACTGCAGAACTCTTGGCCCATGCCTTCCCTTCTCTGAGCCTCAGTTTCCTTGTGTGCCAAACAAGTCTTAGTTGATGGCCCAGGGAGGGGACATTGGTCAGGTGGAAAGATCATGAGTTTTGCAGTCAAGCCTGGGTTTGAAGGCTGGCTTCTGGCACCTTAAGCAATGGATATACCCACCCCTACCTCGAAGCTCTGTTGTGATGTGTCAGCGTGTGGCTTGTGAGGAGCACCGGCTGTGAGGCTCACACACGGATGCTGGAGAAATACTTCTTCCCTCGAGAAGACCCTTGGGACTAGCACTCTGAGGTTCCTCCCAGTTCAGAAAGCACATCTGCTTTGGGACTTTGTCTTCTGCTGAGTGCTAGCCCAGCCCTCACTGTAAAGCAGGCATCAGGTCAACCCTGATTTTGCTTTTCCCCCATGAGACTCAGGGCAGAAGGTGCCAGCAGACCCACCTGGATCCTGCCTCTGCTCAGACCTTATTGCTCCTTCTACCCCGATTCCCTTATGGCACGTGTGTTCCTGGCTTCAGCATCTCTCCCTCTCTCCCTCCTCCCCGCCCTCCATCTTTCTCTCTCCGCACCCAGACCCTCACCCAGATCTGGTCCCCCCATCTCACCCTTTCCAAGGGACTCCCCAGGACCTGCCCCTTGGGGAAGGGACAAAGTTCTGGCTACTCACTGCGTTCACAGCCAGGTCCCCTCGAATGTCGGGTGGTGTGATCTCATGGAGCAGAGCGGCCCCTGCCACAGCCCCCAGCAGCTGGGCAGCCACGTAGAAGGCAGCCCGCAGAAAGGAGACGTGGCAGCCCACCAGGCAGGCCACGGTCACGGCAGGGTTGATGTGAGCCCCGCTGACGTGGGCCAGAGCCTGCACCAGGGTGCCAATACCCAGGCCGAAGGCCATGGCAATCTGCAGCACAGAGGGCAGGGCCTGTGGCCAGTTGAGGGCCGAACCGAGGCCGAAGAAGACGAAGAGGAGTGTGGCCAGGAACTCGGCAAACACAGCCCTGGAGAAGGCTATGGACCGGAGTTCCCACATGCTGTGCCCTCTGTGGGCTGGCCCGGCAGTCACAGCAGAAGGAAGCTTGTGGAGCACGCTCTCTCTCTCTCTCTCTCTCTCTCTCTCAGGGTCTCTGGGGAGGCTGGGCTAGGGGCATTTATAGGGTTCTTCCATCCTGGATTGGGACACGTGAGGTGGAGGTGGAGTCTGGGTCCGTAGCTTGTCTCCCCTATGGCTGCTCCCATCCCCCACCCCTGCCCACCAGCATGCCTATCACCCCATCTTGGCCTTCACAGCTGACTAATGTTCCCCATTAATAAGCTCCAGATAAGGACTGACGTCCCCTGATTTTCCGTGTTTGTTCCCTGGTTCCCCCAGGGCTGTGGCCCCAGGGCTTCCCCCACCCCCACTGGTTCTGTGAGTGGGGCTTCTCTGAGGGGATGATGCCAAACCCCCTCCCTCTGACTCCAACTATTGGTCAAGGCAGGGACAACACCTCACCCAAGAATGACCATGAGAGAGGATGTCCATGCTACCCCTTCTAGGGATTGGGAAGTTCTTCCTGTTGTTGACCTTCAATTATTCCTTCTTGAAGGGGATGGAAAACAACAGGTTGGCTTGTGACGTGAACCTTCCAAGGCATAAAGGTTTCGTCTCTTCTGGGCTCCCTTTCTTGTAGTCAGTTACCCAGAAGTTCTTAAGCTTCATGTCCTCCCAGGAACTCCAGCCAAAAGGCAGCTCCCGTAGCCTGGACGGAGGGGGGTGGTGTCAGTGGCAGGGGGACCCTGGTTCTGGGTGATGGGATCAACCTGCGGTTGCCTGAGGAAGCTTCCGGCTTCCATTCCAGCATCACCCTGGTCCATCTCTGTGATTTACCTTTTCTTGTCCGTCCCTGTAAATAGGGGATAATAAACTTCTACATGGGGTTGGGGTTTGGGGTAAATGAAATAATGTAAAGTGCTTAGAGCCTCACCTGGCCCACAGTCAGCCATCAATTAATATCAGCTATTATTAATAGCGTTATTTATTTATACTCTGAATACTCGGAGGAGGAGAAAAGGTCTCCCTAAACTCACATAGAGTGTCCCAGAAGCTGTGACAGGTAGTAGGCACCCCCTGGAGCTCAGAGCCACCCAAGCCACATGGGGAGGACATTTCTGTGAGGCAGTGAGCTGTGCAGGCTCAGGGAGGCCACAATGAGCCAGAAGCGACTCTTTGGCCTTGCTGCCCACTCAGCCCAGGCTCTGGGCAATGCCACCTCCCACCATCAGTGCTGCCCTGGCCTGGGATCTAGGAGACATTTAGGTCTGGGAGTCCCCAGGCCCCACTCCCCTTGCTCTTCCCTCATCCCTCTGGCCCTGTTCCCTCTCCCGGGGACCCAAACACAGGGTCAGGCTCAGAGAGCAGTTAGGAGGACTGGCTCCAGACCCTGCTCTACCTCCTGTCCAGCAGGACCCCAGGCAAGTCACAGTTGTAGGAACAGAGTCTGGGAGGGATCAGAGACTGCAGAGTGGAGCCCCTTGTGTGCCCTTAGATGGACCATGCACCCCTTCTGGTCCCTCCTCTTTGGTCAAGGTGTTTATGATCTTGAGAGACGGAGAGAGGGAGTGGCCTGCTGACCCCTGATTCTGGGCAGGACCTGCCCTCACCTTGTCAAGTGAAAATCTCTTACCTCCCCATAAACCCAGAAGAAGTGTCACGGTTTCTTTCTGTAAGCCCATTAATTCCCAACCTAAATGTGTGTGTGTGTGTGTGTGTGTGTGTGTGTGTGTGTGTGTGTGTGGTCATTCAGTCACAGTCGTAAATTTAGAACCCAATGAGATCTTAGAGGTCATTTAGCCTACGAATCTCACTTTAGAGATAAGAACCTGCAGTCCAGAGAGAGTAAGACTTATTCACGTTCTGGTCTGGGCCCAGGACTGGGAGGAGGGGAGAGCAACAAACACGACTGGGCCCTACGTGTGCTGTGCATTCCTTTTGAGCCAGGGAGGAAGAAGGTGTACCTGTCAGAGCCCGGGGGGTGGGGTGGGGGGGTGGGAGGGGGTGGAGGTTGGAGTTCAAGCTGTGGGTCCTGGTGGGCAGTGGAGCTCCCCCAGGCAAGGACTGCCTTTTGTCCACGGTGACCACGACGCCATGTCTTACGAGGTCCAAGGTGCCATCAATTGTATGAGGCACCACTAATTAGTATTGCAAAAATGCTTTCTTGGTGATAGATTGTGGTAACAGTTGCACAGAAATGTGTATGTACCTAACACCACCTAACTGTGTAGTCATAAATGGTTAGAATGGTTTTATGTTATGTGTGTTTTGCCATAATTAAAAATAATTTTAAAAAGCCGTGAAGGAAAATGACCCGAAAAATGCTTTCTTACCAATTTTGGTTTGTATCTAATGAAAGAAATCTTTCGGATTGATTTAGATATCAGTTGTTTTTTTTTTTAAGTCAAAATCACTCTTTCGCAATTATCGAAAAGGAAATGATTGGTAAAACAAACTGGCTAAGATAGTCCCCAAATGTCTTCACATTCAGAGTCCACATTTCTTAAATCTCTTTTTGATTCAGAGTGCTCTCAGGGTTTTCCTACACGGCATCACCCTCTGTGCCATCAGGAGTGTAGTGACGTACCGTTTCCTACAAGAGTGTTGCGATCGTGTCAAGAATTTCTTTCCAAGCTTTAGACACTCCTTCCGTAGGCTTTGCCACACTTGTTTTCTTGCTTCACACATGACTGGCAATCATTTGGCCCCGGTCTCAGTAATCAGACATAACACAGTTTCATCTACCTCTGGGGCTCTTTCTTTCCTAGGTCCCATAAGACACCTGGCTGTTGTTTCGTGAGAAAATATGAGTGTGTGTCATCTGCTGGTGGCCTGAAGGAGGGGCTGAGACCCTGGAAAAGCGGAGTTAGGAAGAGGGTGTGTATGGGGAGCCGGGCCAGCAACGATGCCCCATGAGGGAGTGCAGGGACAGAATTCAGGACTGGTGCTGTCTGACAATTGACATAAGGTGTGTTTCCTGCTCTGAGCTGAGCTGCAAATGCCCTCCATTCTCCCCACAAGGTCAGTAAAAGTGGGTCACGCTCCACAGCCTGTGAGGCTGGGACTTCAGGGAATGAGGGAAAAGGGACAGGGCCAATCCATGGTCAGGTGAAGTGGGACAGAGCAAAGAGAGCAACTCTGGGCAGCAGTGGCGGGAGGGGTGGGAGACTGGGGCTCAGCCCTGTAGGAGGCATGAGAAGTATTGTAGGGTGTCAAGTCCGTACAGTTTGGGGACAAAGTGTAAGCCATTGGATTTCTACGTAGGGTTACAGATAAAATACACAATGCCTGAGTATGTTTGAATTTCAGATAAATAACAATACATTTTTAGCATAAGTATATTCCAAGCAATATTTGGGACATACTCACACTGAAAAGTTATCTGTTATCTATAACTGAAATTTAACTGGTTGTCCTGTATTTTTATTTGTTAAATCTGGCAACCCTATTCTATTTGAAAGCAAAAGGGGAACCCAGAGGACTGAAGACCTGGGGACAGCTGGGTTTCAAACTAAGTCTTACAAGGACTTTTGGGGTTGAGTCTCACTAGCCCCATTTTATACAGGAGGAAACTAAGGCAGAGAGAGGTTGTAAAAGTTGTCTGAGATCACAAGTCTGGTAAATGGAGGAAATGAGCTATGGATACAGGTCTGTCTGATACAGAAGTTCATGCTTAAAGGAAGGTTGAAAAAGAAAACCAAAACTGGTGGCATCACAATTCCAGACTTTAGTTCTGTTACAAAGCTGTCATCATCAAGACAGTATGGTACTGGCACAAAAATAGAAACATAGATCAATGGAACAGAATAGAGAGCCCAGAAACGGACCCTGAACTCTATGGCCAACTAATCTTCAACAAAGTAGGAAAGAACATCTAATGGGAAAATAGTCTCTTCAACAAGTGGTGTTGGGATAATTGGACAGCCACATGCAGAAGAATGAAACTGGACCATTTCCTTACACCACACACAAAAGTAGACTCAAAATGGATGAAACACCTAAATGTGAGACAGGAATCCATCAAAATTCTAGAGGAGAACACAGGCAACAACCTCTATGACCTCGGCCGCAGCAACTTCTTGCTAGACACGTCTCCAAAGGCAAGGGAAGCAAGGGAAAAAATGAACTGTTTGGGACTTCATCAAGATAAAAAACTTCTGGGACGCCTGGGTGGCTCAGTCATTAGGCATCTGCCTTTCGCTCAGGTCATGGTCCCAGGGTCCTGGGATCGAGCCCTGCATTGAGCCCTGCATTGGGCTCCCTGCTCGGTGGGAAGCCTGCTTCTCCCTCTCCCTCTGCCACTCCCCCTGCTTGTGTTCCCTCTCTCGCTGTGTCTCCCTGTCAAATAAATAAATAAAATCTTAAAAAAAAAAAAGAAAAGATAAAAAGCTTCTGGACAGTAAAGGAAACATTCGACAAAACCAAAAGACAACCGACAGAATGGGAGAAGATATTTGCAAATGTCTTATTAGATAAAGGGCTAGTATCCAAAATCTATAAAGAAGTTATCAAACTCAACACCTGAAGAACAAGTAATCCAATCAAGAAATGGGCAGAAGACACGAACAGACATTTCTCCAAAGAAGACATCCAAAAGGCCAACAGACACATGAAAAAATGCTCCACATCACTCAGCATCAGGGAAATACAAATCAAAACCACAATGAGATACCACCTCACACCAGTCAGAATGGCTGAAATTAACAAGTCGGGAAATGACAGATGTTGGCGAAGATGCAGAGAAAGGGGAACCCTCCTACACTGTTGGTGGGAATGCAAGCTGGTGCAGCCACCCTGGAAAACAGTGTGGAGGTTCCTCATAAAGTTGAAAATAGAGCTACCCGATGACTCAGCAACTGCACTATTAGGGATTTACCCCAAAGATACAAATGTAGTGATCCGAAGGGACACCTGCACTCCAATGTTTATAGTAGCAATGTCCACAATAGCCAAACTATAGAAAAAGCCCAGATGTCCATCAACAGATGAATGGATAAAGAAGATGTGGTCCATGTATACAATGGAATACTACTTAGCCATAAAAAAAAATATGCAATCTTGATATTTGCAATGACGTGGATGGAACT